AGAAGGAACAACAGTCGCCTATTTCCGCGCAGATGCAAGCTCTTTTTAAAGGTATTCCGTCAAAGGTTTCAAGTTATTTTTTAAGATAGCCATTTATTCATGTACTCAAGAACACCGTGATACGAACTGATATTTTCCCTGATTATATTTTCCAAGGTAGAAACGTATAACCTGTTCGTGACACGTGGAGGAAGTTTATAACATGATACCACAAGATCACAAAATGTGATAAATTTCCTCTTTGTTACCTATATCGGCAAATTAACTGTGGTTTAACCACTGATCTCAAAAAAGACTGGATCGAGCAACCCATTGTTCCATCTCCTGAAACTCTGAAGCCAAATTTGATTTCCGCCATCTTAGGAGGTCTAAAAGCCGTGATGTAAACAATGTAGTGTACTGGCTGCCGTCACATCGAAGATGCCAAGTTGCAGCGCGTTTGCTTGCACTAAGCGTACGGGATAAAAACAGAGGGAAAGTACTTGTAAGAAGATAACATTTCACAAGTGCTCGCTTTGTGCCTACCTGGTTTTATACTTAATTTTTCAAGCCCAAGATTTGACTTGGTCACCTCTACGCCACAACTCGAAACGATCGAGTGTGACAGGATTTCATTCAAAGAACTGAGTTCCTCTCAGTTACCTAAAATTTGATAATAATGAAAGTTAGATATTGATTTAATAAGGATTTAGCAGTCTGAACACTGACACTGAACACTGAACGCCGACATATATTAATATTTGACTAGGCCTCGCGCCTTGGCCATGGACTTCCTCTCTTGACGAAAGGATACTTAGCAGTTGACTTTCAGCTATCACAAATAATTAGCTTTTAATCTCACAGGTTTCAGAAAGATCTACAAAGACGCCAGGAATGGATTCAAAATCTTTGTAGAGAGAATTATAATCCCTCATGTCACGCAACACAAAGTATGCTCACAACACTTTGAAGACTCGTGTTTTGACAAAACTGGGCAAACAATTCTCTTGAAACAAGATGCAGTACCAACCATCTTTGCATTTCCATCACACCTGATAAAGGTACGTGTAGCTTGTATTCACGAATATTATTGATTCCTCCAATTTTAGCTAATTACCATCAGTTTAACATGAAGTAAATGCTTATCTGGTAAAAATATAAACTCGTTAAAGGCTTTCGTGTTTTGTATAAGACTTCCCTAAAAACATAAATATAGTTTGACTCTCCAGCTTTTGCCTCTTTGCACCTCCTAAGATGGCCGTCAAGGTGCCCTTGCCTTACCTTAGCTAAATCATCCTTTTATGTAGTAGCCATGTAGTTCTCAATATCAAAATTAAACGATTGTGAAATATTTGGTTTCGGTTTGATATTCAGTGAAACCCGGTGTTAGTCTGTTTCCCATTCAAAATTATTTGACACCTTTATCTATTCCTAAACCAGTTTTGTCCATTCCTATACCAGCTTTGTCTATTCCTAAACCAGCTTTGGCTATTCCTAAACCAGTTTTGTTTATTCCTAAACCAGCTTTGTCTATTCCGAAACCAGTTTTGTCTATTCCTAAACCAGCTTTATCTATTCCTAAACCAGATTTTGGGTTGAATATTCATATATTCATACACATATATACATATATATACATATATATTTGAATACATATAAGTATGTATGTATTTCAAATTATATGTATATATGTGTATGTTTGAATATATAAACATATCTACTTATATAGATATTACACAATACACAAACACATGTATACATACATATTTGAATATAAATATATATATATACATATATATATATATATATATATATATATATATATATATATATATACACATACATACACAATCTACATATATATATATATCCATATACATATATGTGGCATCAGAAAACTATGGTAAATGTAATTAAGAACGACCGTATGATACGAGGTTACTGGTCGTTTTAAAAGACGAAGAAAAAGGTGCTTTACCGTGCGTGCGCGAATCAACTGGCAGGCGGCAGTGAGGTGTGACTGGCATTTAATCGTCTTTCTTGAGAGGTGATCATATCCCTGAAAAATAGGATAGTTATTAGTATTTAACAACAAAGGTGGCTGGAGCTGGAAAATTAGAGTTTCAAAGGCAACAGAGTCAGTGGAGGGGGGGGGAGTAGACTGAAGTAAGAGTGACCCAGCGGCGGAGAAAGATGCGAGGTGTGTTGGGAGAGAGTAAGAGTGGCTGTGTCGATGCAGGACATGGTCAGATAGCTTTGAATATTTTCAAGAGTTTCTGCAATGGAACTGATCGGGGAGTATTGAGACACAAGGGTTTCCTTATGAGAGGAGGGGTGGGAGGAGAAGACTGGTGTCTGAGGAATAGAGGAAGAGGTAGGTGGAGTGTGTGGGGATGGAACATTTAGTCTCTGCTGCGGGTAGCGCGAGAAGTCTGTCAGGGCTGATAATGCTCTAGCTTGGGTTTCGGATGTGGCAATATATATATATTTATATATATATATATATATATATATATATATA